TTTATTATTATTATTATTATTATTATTATTATATATATATATATATATATATATATATATTGTGATATTCATGAATTTGTGCAATGGGAATCGGATCGTGATAAGATCATGATAATGAAACCGAATCGCCTTTAAATATATACCCTAAATAAATATGATCATAGGTTATTTGAGAGAAATATCGAGATAACCAAATAGACTAGTATGTTATATACCCGTCCATATGATGGAGACAGTTGGTCTCATAGCTGCTTGTGTGGAGATACTAGGGATACAGTGCAGGTACTCATTGGAGAACGAATTCACTGATTAATTCGCTCACGGAATGTTAGATGATTAATGATATCTCATTGTCAAACAATGATTCCGTTGTCACAATGGTGTACTTGGTACTTATACTTGAGCCACTAAGGATGTCCTGTATGAGTGCTCCACTTTTTGATATAGGACTTATATATTTGGATATTCCATATATAGCAGAGCTGGTCATCGGGAGTGACCATCTGCACTCAGTGTCATGAGAGGAATATTTCATCTGTTCTTACTCAGACAAATTCCTGATCAAAGTCATTCGGATTGAGAGAGAAAGAGTTATTGGGGAGAATCAGATTAAAACGAGATTTGAGTAGAAACCGTATGGGTCTGACAGTACCATGCCCAGTATACGATCATTAAGATATTAGATGGATAAGGGACTATAGATATACGATAATTAAGGACAGATAGGTTCAATGGATTGGATTCTCCTATATCGTCCGTGGACTACGACATAGTGGCATAGTACGTCCGCAATCAATAAGTCGAGTGAATTATTATAGAAATAATAATTCACTGAGCCAGAATGAGTTCCAACTAATATGACTCACGACCAGCTCGATATTGGGCCTAGATGATCACACACATATAGTAAGTATTGCAACGAGTAGAGGTTCAGATATGAGATATCCGTCGGAGCCCATATCTTATTGGATATCCAATAAACATGAATTATTGAATCCTATGGATAAGATCCAATAAGGACCAACGAGAGATATCTCCGTCCCCTCCTTAGCACTCTATAAGCCCAGCAAAGTAGTACGGGTTCGTTCCAGCTCCCACATGGAAGGCGACGCCGGCGCCCCGGTCGTTGCACTGCACCCTATAGCAGTACTGTTCATGACAGCCTCACGTAGACATGGAAGAAAGATACCGGTGAGAGTTCTGACCTAGTGTACTGCACTTGGAGCACTCCTGCTCCACGAACCCTGTCATTGCCCCTATCGCAGTCCCACTCAGGTCGAAATGGGCGGACTCGGCAAGACAGGGACCGCCGGGACACACATCGGTGATCACGATGGTCACTGGTTTGCCGGAGCACGCAGCATTCTTGGTGCACAAGACCTAAGTACGTAACAATGTCAACGTTCTTCGAGCAAGAGATGAAGCTACATATAGGCGTATATATATACCTGATAGCATGCACCACACATCCCTTCGTCACCTAAGTACCTAACGTTCCACCATCTCAGCTTGAGATGCTCGATTAGCTTCAAACACGTATGAGACAAACAGAATTTGTCATACGGAGAGTTTAATCTTTGTTCATTTTGCGTGCAATTTTCTTTTCTTGGGGTCAACTGCGACAAGTTTATTCCGTCATATCCCACCGACGTGTGGATCTAATTTCTACAAAATGTAATAACCAGAAATATAAAGATAGAAAATTAATCCTACACAAAAATAAAAAAAAATATTGAGAAGGAACGTCTCCACACCAATCGTTAGTGACACATGGTAATCACTAGAAGCTGACGTGGAACAACCCGACATGTAATCAAGGGGGAGAGAAGCTAACCTTATACACGGTGGACGATCGATCCCACGCTACCCAAATCGTATGGGTTAGCATCGCACAACAAAAGTCTGTACAAGTTGACTCATGCCGTCAGGAATGTATGGGTCGATCGCTCGCATAGTCATGCCGAACAAGGATAATTCCTCGCGAGTTCATGGGCCATACTAATGGATCATGGATCGACAAAATATTTTGATATTAAATATAGAGAACCAAAGGCAATAATTACATTTGTGATGAAGATAGATTTTAGGCATTACTAAATGTAATTATAATTATTTAAAATAGTATATAAGTAAAGAATAAGTGACTTTCACTAGTAGGAATCAAAAATATTAATTTAAATTTCTAGTAAATACCCATCATTAATGTCGACTTTCTAAGATAGATCTACGGTGAGATATACGATATCATTCTAATCTTCTCCATGGATCCTTAATGATAAGGAAAGCACACTAATGATATCATTTATCTTCAATTTAATTTAAATATTCTTTAAATATATATAATATTTAGGTAGCATATGAAAATTAAAATTTGACAAAAACTTCCTTCCTTTTATGATTTTTTAATTGAATTTCTAGACAATACCATTGCAATTAATATTATATTACAAATATGGAGTTGGGATAATGCCATTCCAAACAATAGCCACGAACCAATTGAAATCCTTATGTTGAGTCTCTTTCTACTCTAAATGTCATTTTAGTAATACATAAATTATTATTATTGTTATTATTACTATTATTATAAAACACAAGGATTTCAAACAATTTTTCATAAATAGATGTAGCAATCTATCACCATCAGATCAATATTTTAGATATGAAAAGTTATTAGATGACACTTAAACCTTGATAGATGATACTAATACATCGTCGACTAATATTATTAATTTTAGATTCCTTAATTAAAAATAATCAAAATGTTTGATATTTTATTACCATGTTGTGAAGGAATAATGTGCAAAGCATGCGTCGGCAAACTACTAGACTACAGTGGGAGGCCATCACATGTTGCACCAACATCATATCCGATGGTTCTTCATGGAATCTTGCATGTGATCTTTACTTGTCCTTTGGATTGGGGTGATTCCATGTATTTACCCGACCACTTAGGCTCGTGATGCAATGACTTGTTCTTAATGATGGGACCGATTCACCACCACCTCCCTTCTCCCCAAAGTTAATGCCTTTGTCTCCACTTTACACAACATGTAATTTCTCATCCCAAAGTAACAACATGATGTTGGGGCTACTTTTCATTTTATATATATACATCTATAGGTAATATGGTTCATAAAGAATATGAAGCATCCATTGTTTCGACAGGAAAGTTTATTCTTCATCATTAACGAATATAACATTCATCAACCATAGTTTCTTATGATCGAACACATTCCCAACTCAATTAATGGATATTTAATTCTAATTTTGGTGGACAAGATAGATACTATAAGTGATTTATATATATTGATAAAAAATATGGTTAATTATATATTATCCCTATACTTTATTATTTTTATTATATCGATTTTATATTTTTATAAATTATATTAAGATCTCTATACTTGTGAAAGTGAAATATTTAATTTCATTTTTCATCATGTCATCGACTCGTATGATTTACTATCGAACACGTATTCAGTCTCTCTCATTTTGATTTATTATTAAGTATGTATGATATTTTCGTTAGTAAAATTGATGACGTAAAAAGAAACGAGATTAAATATTTTACTTTCGTACGTATGATAATTTTAATATAATTTTTAAAAATATAAAGAATAAAAATATTAAATAATTACTTATAAAAATATAATTAACCTTCAGATAATCATAATAATATTTATTGAAGACAATGATGAGCCTCGATGGTGGCTTAGTACTTTTATTACTCTGTCGGCAAATTTATGTATCAGTCAGTGAAGAAGAACACACGACGAGAGCCTTAAAAATCCTCATAAATGCTTGGCATTCAAACCACCAACCTTAAACGAGATATATAATTGTTCACCTTCGTGGCTCTAATCTATTATGAACCCCGCAGATTCATTTATTATGTTTGATGGCAACAACCCTCAATTACTCTTATTTTACAACTCATTCATTTATTATATATATATATATATATATATATATATGTCAATATCACTAATTTAATTTGAATTGTCTAAATTGTAAGACATCATTGTCATCAATGTCACGAATCTAATTGAAATTATCTAAATTGATTTAATTAGGATTGTATAGGTTGTGAAACATTATTATATTAATGTTATAGACTTAGTCGAGATTGTCCAAACTTCATTATATTATTCATTTATAAATTATCAACTTAATTATAATATTGCTTAGGTCCACTTGTAAAAGAATAAATTGATTAATTCAAAAATAAGTAAACAAGTTTTGATATCTCGGATAGTTTTATAAGTAATTCAGTAAATACTTAGTGGGCAAGAGAGAAAAAGAAATAAAAACTTTGGAAGTTAAACAAATTGTAATGAGTCTATAAACAACTACAATTGATAGTGTTGGTAGACAGAGAAGAATATTTTAATCAAATTAATAAATTTTTTTACCTAAAAACTAATTAGAGAGTATGATTTGAAAAAAAAATTCAAGCACTCTTTTAGATGAAATATTCATTTTTTACTTTATTTATGTTTATTAAATAACTCAATTATAATTCTTTAAATATATCAATTATTAATTTATCTTTGCACGAAAAGAGAAAAGGAATCGAGCATTAGAATTAGATTCCTAATTTTGTTTTTTAACATTGAAGAGCGAGTCCGAACGAGTCACGAGTCAAAACTGATCAAAAGCTCGACTCGTTCACAGCCCTATTTAGAATAACCGTCAATTCACACATTAAATAAATGAAACGAGGCGGGTTTCAAATGCAACCTTTCCGCTATTTATTCCCATATCCATTTCTCATTGCTGTCTATTTACTTCGTTTGGCTCCCCCCACATCTCCCCTTCCCTCCTCCCCTCCTCCGTTACGCCATCTCGAATCCCGCTCCGGAGCCCGTCACGAACCCTAAGCAACAGTCCCCTAAACCCCTCCCCTCCGCCATTGCCGATCCCACTCATCCCCTCCGACGCAACCATTCTTTTCGTGATACATCCTTAGATCGATGATCACGTGGCGCCGTTAATGCCTCGCTCGGGCTTGCGTCCCCGTTAGAACCCCCGTGGTAGGAGTTTCTGATCGCAGCGTCTTGAGATGAGTGAGTGATCTCGATGGCCGTGACAATGGCGAAGCAGCTCAGTCCCCAGTGCCTGAGTGGGGTCTCCCCGCCGTGCTCGGCCTTCCTGGTCTCCGAGAAGTGGCTCCGGACCGCCTGGGCTTGCCAGTGGAGGTGGGCCATCTCGCGCTCGGTGTTGTGTGGTGTGATGCTCTTCGCCCTCGGCCTCGTCTCGCTCTTCACTGGCCAGATTGCTGCCGACCTCGAGTGGTCGCGGATCCGCGGACGGTGGCGATCCAAAAGGGTATGAGCTAATAAAGCATGAAAGTACTGGAAATAGAGTTTTTTTTTTGTTTTTTGTTTTTCTTTTCTTAGAGAACGCAATGTGATGCGCGGAGTTGCTTTTATGCTTTTGTTCCTTTCCACTCTACTTTATAATTTGTTTCTGTACATTATGGCGTTGTTACTGTTCATTTGACATATTAAATGAAAGTTTATCCCTTTTAATTGTTTTTGTGCAGTGCAAGCGTTTAATATTCTTGCATCTATTTTCTTCTTATGGAATTAACATGGTTTAGTTTAAAAAGATTAAAAATGATATATTTTTTGGAAGCAGATAATTGTCATCTATGTAGTGTGCGGCGTTGTGCTTTACAGTAACTTGAATGGTTATACTATTCCTTACTGGAATCATTTTTAGTTCATACTGTCAAATTGGAGACATTTGCAGGTTGGATACAGTACTCCAACTGATATATGGAAATCAGAATTTGCAAATCTCTATCATGGTTGTAGTGATAGAAGCCCTCATTTTAGAGGTAAGTTCCTTACAGCATTACCAACAGGATTTATTTTTTTTTTTTCCCTATCTTTTTGTGCTGATTTTTGTATTGTGGTTTTCCATTAGAATTGTCAAGGATGAAGGTGGGCACTTGATGAATGTGTATTTTGTACAATTTATATAATAATTGATAAATATAGAAGCTATGAATTTCGTTTCTATGTACAAAGTAAAAAATACATATTTTACAATATTCGTGTGTTCTAGGATGTTAAATGAAAATTTTCTGACCAATATGAATGGTATTAAGGAAACTATTCACTTCAACAGAATACATCAGAATACAAAAAATTTCCGACAAATATGAATGTGTTAGGATGGTTGTTGCAACTTAATTCAAGATCTTATATGGGCTACTAGTCACTAATCAAGTATATAAAGGCTTTTCAGGCATAACCTTGCTGGATGCCCTTTTTTTCTTTACATCTCGTTTCATCGTCTGGTCTTCCTCTTTCGTTTACTAAAAAACATTTTGCAAGTTTCAGGTGTGTTTTTCACTTTCCATTTCACATTTGTAGTTTTGTCCGACCCCATAATTGTTTGATTTAGCACACACTTGAAGAGGATGGTTGAGATAAAATGAAGTTGCAGATACAAAGAATGTGCAACATATCTCTTGTATCTGGGGTTCAAAATTACATGCCTTTGTTTAGGATTTCGTTATTTTCTATGAGTCTTCCAGAGGTATTTGTGCAATTGTCATTATTAAGGAGAAGGTTGGTATGCCACTTGCAGTAAAGGACTTCTGTCACATACTGTGAAATGGTAAGTTGTGCTGATCCAAAGTCCACACAGTACGAATCGGATGTATCTATGAATTGTCTCCAATGTGCTTACCGATGCCTGATCATGTAACCATGTGGCATGCACATGCAAGGTGCTGCACCTTTGTTACCAGGGTCTGGCATGGGCACAATACCTGGCTTATGCCCCTGAGCTTAGTAAATCAGCTTTAGTTGTTTGGTGGGGCTAAAGCTGCTAAGTTGTGACACAGCAGCAGAGGAACTTAAACTTGATACTATGCTGTACCATGAATATACTGGAGTTGCAATACAGGGAAAGGCTTTTAAGCATTAGAAGGGAGATTAGAACTATCGATTTGAGATTCTGTACTCATTAGGTCTCCTTTCCCAATTATTTCAAGTAATGGACTTTCTATAATATCATTAATTTTGGAGTAAATTTTGACTATAATGCTTTACATGACCTAACGAAAATTTCTTTTAATGACTGATAAGCCAGGTTCTGGATAAATCCAAACTTAATGAATCCTGGCAAAAAAGTCTGGCTAGAAACTAAATAGGCTTATTATGCAGACCCATTTATCTGATCAATATCTGACATGAATATATACCACGATGGTATGAATTAATCTAATGCTTATAATATATTCACTTATGGTTGCTGAACTTGTCAATCCTTGCCACCTCCTGTGCAACCTTTTGATCAGTCAACTTTATTTGTCAGCAACAACCTGATAGAACTTAGGATCTCAATTAGGAGGACATTTTTCATTGGACAAGGATATATATCCTTGAGCTATAAACTCTAAGGAGATGGATCTTTCTAAAAAATTCACTGCAGAGAATTACTAAGGGCAAGAACTTGTAAAATTATTTCTTAATGGTATAAGGTCAAACAGTTTAGTCGACATGTTTGTATAGTAGTTGTTAAACAGCAATGTCTTAGCTTTTATGCGATCAGATATCTGATTCTTACATGTAACATTCCATTTAATCTTTGCCTTAAGTAACATTGTCTTAGCTTTTGTGCATCTCTTTCACTATTGTCTTTGTTCGATGTCGATTACATATGGAAAAAAGTGAAGTGTGTTCTTGTTGGTCAAATTTCACCACCAACGTGGAAGTACCATTAAGCATACTAAAGTCTATTTGCTTTTTTCATGTGATTTAGATGCAGTGCATGATAGTGAATCCAACGGTTACCTGTTAATTGCAACAAGTGGAGGACTAAACCAACAAAGAACAGGGGTAAATTTGCATTTCTTCTCTCATGTTCTGGTATTTTATTGTCATCAAGAAGTGATTTATAAAGGGTTTAGAAGATTGTCAAGAAGTTTCGTCTTTCAGTAGATTTAGTTTGCATGTGATCCACCATCTTGCTTTTTTCACTTTCCTTTTCACATAAACAGAAGGACGTACCCTGAAAATTTTGCTTTAACCATCTTTTATTATAGGGTCCCAATCTCTCAAAGTAAGTTTGGCCATATTGGATTAGAAAAACATGGTTCTTTGTGATAACTTCATCGTGACTGTACTACCTCTCTGATTCATCTTATGCTGTTGAATGAAGGTGCATAAGATAAATAGAAATCTCAGAGAACAAGTGGACTTTGTGGTTGTATGTACATTTTCTTTCTTCTAAGTGATGAAAACTTTAACCATTACTTTTTAATGATCAGATAACGGATGCTGTTGTTGTAGCCCGGATCTTAAATGCCACTTTAGTTGTTCCTGAGCTTGATCATCATTCTTTTTGGAAAGACGACAGGTGATGTGACAACATGGAGACTTTATGAGACAATTACTACTAGTTGTGTTTCTAAATTAGATACAATGTATGTAACAGGTTTATTTTTTGCATTTGCAGTGACTTTGCAGACATTTTTGACGTTGACTGGTTCATTAACTCCCTTTCGAAAGATGTACCTGTTGTTAAAAGGATTCCAGACAAAGTAATGAGGTCAATGGAAAAACCTCCATACACAATGCGCGTTCCAAGAAAATCTACTCCTGAATATTACCTTGAACAAGTGCTTCCATTACTATTACGGAGACGTGTAAGCAAGCTTGCAGACTGCTTGATATGTGCTTAATTTAGCCATTTCATCCAGATTACATGATAGAATTTAACATCTCTACCATATTATTTATCATAACTTCTGAGGTCTTTCACCGTTCGACTTGGTATGTTTCTCATGTGAAAGGTCATTTGCTTCAATGCTCACCATAAATAGTTACGTTGGACAGTAATTCAGAGGTGAATAAGTTCTTTGGTTTCAGCTTTTCTTTGTGGGTTAGCAGACTATTCTTTCTCTGATGGAAATAAAGTACAAATGCTGTTACATCTTTCCAAACATTAAGAATGGGAATAACTCATTCCGAATCCAACTCCAAGCCTTCTTTCCATCTTAGCAAACACAATATCATATCATCATCAAATTTCTAACATTTTTGGTATTTTTTTTATTACCTATTGTCTGATAGGTTGTACTTAAATTGATCCTTAAGCGGCATCAAATTTCTAGCAACAACATATGACATGCTGGTAAATCTTAATACAAGGTTTTAAATCTCATTCTGGTGCTAGTTCTGTGGTACTGATGTCCTGAGAGGTATACTGACTTATACTGCCTGGTACCAACCAACTGGAAAACACAACATAAGATTAATATCCATTAGTACCAGATCATATGATGTGATACAGGTCCTTTTTCAACCAGTAAATACTGATCTCATAATTCCCAATACCCAATTTCATGTTATATCAGATGCATTTTCTCTATGAGCTGCTATGTTGAGAAACTTCTGATGCAAAATTCTAAATATTGATTTGGTAACAATTTTGATAATCTGTTGAACTAATAGGGTTCCGAGAACTGACCTGTACCACCTAAACCCTGAGTAAACTAATAGAAAAATAAAAATGAGTAGTTTACTGAGTTGTACCGAGGTGTATGATTGGACCAGTAAACACTGATCAATATATATCAGCTTGATTGGTATTTGGAACCATGTTATCTTGAACAGTTAAAAGGCAGGAGTTCAAGGTCACAAACTAGCTTTGATTACCTCTCATTCTCTAGTAATTTGTCAATCCTTTATGGAAATAGTTGGGAGACACTCCGATAGCAATTTTTAGAATGTTTCCATTATTTCACTGGATATATACTTAGTATGCATTGTAACAGTAGTGGTTACTAAAAAAAGCTATAGTAACTTTGGGAAAATGGCTGACATGCCGTATACTATATTTAAAGTTAGGTTATACAGTTTACTGAATCAGATAAAACTAATTTGTGTTTTTATAATAACATTATCAATTAATTGATAAATTGCAGGCTGTGCAGTTGACCAAGTTCGATTATAGGCTTACAAACAAACTTGATGAGGAACTGCAGAAGTTACGCTGCCGCGTAAATTATCATGCACTAAGGTTTACAAAACCGATAAAATTAATTGGTCGGAAGCTGGTCAAGAGAATGCGAACAATGAGCTCACGTTACATTGCTGTCCATTTGAGGTATTTTATTTTTTTTGTTGGAAATATACTTGGCATTATAAGTTGTTAGAGTTATCCAAAAACTTTCCTATTCGGCATGCCAAATTGATGCTAAAGGCATTATTTTTAACAAAAAATGTTTACCTGCATAACATGATCTTTTTTGTTTTATATACCAGCTTTCTTCTACTAGTATTCCCTTGCTAAGGATGTGCCTAGACTAGCTATACCAACATGGTTGAAGCATATACCTCTCTTCCTTGATTCTGAAGCGTTCTGTTTTAGGTTGAATTTTCTCATTTTAAAGCTTTGGTTTTCATGTTGCTACTCGATTTCATGGTCATAACTTGTTCATCATGTCAACAAGGGGAGTCACAAATGCTCAGTGCTGGTATGCTTGCCCTGATAAAAAGTTCTATCAACAAATACAAATGTGCTGTCCCGACCTCTCTAAGTGTCCAGGCAGCTCAAAATAATACCAATTGAGTTTGGCTGCAGAGGAACCAAAAATTCCATGAAACCCCATAGCAGTTTATGTTTTTCGTAAGCTCCTAGTCTATTTATTTATATATACTAATTTAACTGGTATTGTGCTGTCTCAACCTTATTCAACCAATTGTGACAAGGATTAATCTGATTGTTGAAGCCCGTCTTAAGTAAAGTCAACCAGAATCAAATTGATCTGGATCAACTAACTCAGACGCACTTGTTCTTCCCCATCCTACTTAAATGTCAACTCTTGTTGTCTCTTGAGTTGCATTTCATTATTGTTTTCTCCCATCCCAACAAATACAATCTTGGAAAGTACAGTTCACTGATTTGCAGTTGGGTCAACCTACATTTTGGAACTTACTGTTAACTAAACATGTCGAATATGAATGGGACAATGCATGTTTATGTTCTTAAGGCAAAAAACAGATGATTTAAATGTATATGATTCTTGGCATAATAGTTGTACTGGAAGAAATGTTTTCAATTTTAGTCAGATTGGTGAGTACCGATCCATGTTTACTGGTCCAACCAGGGACCTGTACGGAACCATATAGGTTGATGCTAAATGGTTTTGATTTATTATTATTATTTTTTATGATCCTTGACAGTACAAGTCAGTATACTGCAAGTTATGCAGGTAGCATTCAAGTCCCATCGGTTCTTGAAACCAGTAGTGGACTGGAACTCATTGCTTGGAAGAGCCTTACAGAAATGGTTCTTGAATTGAGACTTTCTGGCCCTTCTGACAAAATTGAAGTTTCCTATGTAGTTGCTCTCGGTTTGTTTTTTCACATCTGATACCCTACAGTCTAGTCAGAACTTAAGCAGGCATCAAGCCATCATGTGGCACACTATTTAGCTGATGATATATTAAATCAAGACGATTCACATCATAATTTAAATTAAAAATTGTTCAACTGTTCAACAGAATAAAACCTTATTATAGAATGACACTCATCTTTTGTTTATGCAGGACTAGAAATGTTTGTGCTTTCATGATTCAGCTTATAGCATTTTTCATAGTTTCAATTGCTTTGTACCTGGCGGTCAGTTTTTTCCCATTGTCAGATATTACGTATATTGTACCATTAATAATCTCTGGAGCTGTTTGTCTAAAAGAATGCAAGAAGGTTAATACCTTTTCATCTTTGGGCTTGACCAAGCCAATCATTGTTTAACAACTGTTTAGGTTAAAAGCTCCTATGATTCATTTTTGGCAGCATATCATCATCATGCCGGATCCTTTTCTTGATTGATACTGCAGGTTTGAACCTGACATGCTTGCATTTTCTGGCTGTTACTTTGGTGGTGGAGATAAAGAACGTAATGAGCTTGGTGAAATTAGGAAGCGTTGGGCAACATTACCTGTGAGAATATTCCCATTTTTCCTCATTGGTTCTTTTCAGCTTTAACTAGTAGGATTTTCTTTTGGCTTCCACAAGTAGGATTTTGTACCTCAACTTGCATAATCTATGACAACTTTTCTAATAATCATTGTAACCATAGTTTCATTAAATGCATTGATCTATGATCCATAATGCTTTAGAAGCATTTTAGGTACCAATGTTATCCTTTGGATGAATATTCCTCCATAATGAAGTTCAATTTTGTCAACCTGAAACTTATTGAGGAAAGATTAACAATCAGTGTTGTCAAAAGACACTTGGGTGCTTGCCTAGGTGCTCCAATGAGGTGAGGTGCTGGTCGAGCACGTCAACGGTCTCCGGACGAGATGCTTTTACCTGCCTCAACAAGGCACTCGGCATCCCAGGTATTGCTCGCTTGGCCCAGCAGTCGTACTCACACATTGGAGCCTGTCCCAACTTGCCTGGTGAATAAAGTCATGGCTTATTGGCTTGAGCTTGGCTTGTCCAGGCATGAACCTAGGCTTAGGTTGGCATGTACTGACCTGTACTGACAAATGATATGGTCGATACAGATATCATACAGGTCCGACCAAGGATTGGCATTGGTACTGAACTGAGATTTTAATCTCTGCTGTGAACTACCATTTATTTACTAATTGCTTTTGGTGGAAGAATGAAGCATGTGCATTTTGTTTTTCCTTTAACACATCGCAATAAGCTTTGTGAATGTGTATGCTGTTTATGATCTCCACTTCATCAGTAGTAAGGGCTACATATTCTCCATAAATCCATGGTTTAAGTTGATACTTTTGCAGGATATGAGAGCTGAGGTGGAGCGAAGCCGAGGAAAATGTCCGCTGACTCCACAAGAAGTAGGTTTAATGCTAAGAGCTCTTGGCTTTGTAAACAACACTTATCTTTATGTTGCTTCTGGAGAAATATATGGTGGAGAAGCAAGCTTGCAGCCTCTTAAAGACCTCTTTCCAAATTTTTATACAAAGGAAATGCTTGCCGGAAATGATTTGAAGCCCTTCCTTCCGTTCTCTTCTCGTCTTGCTGCTATTGACTACATTGTTTGCGATGAGAGTGATGTCTTTGCCACAAATAATAATGGAAATATGGCTAAGATTCTTGCCGGTCACAGGTATGACTAGTTACCACTTGAATAACTTTCTTCTCCTTTGTCCTTTTCCTTTTCTAATTGCTTGCTTAAGACTCACTTTGATATTTGTTTTACATAATACCAGGCACCTCTGGTGATTTGTAAGGAAAAAATGATGGTCTGGAACCTAACAATTCTTCCATATCATGGAGAGTGCCTATATAAAGGACATTTAGGCTAATATTAAGGATAAACTATGCCCTAGTTATTTCTTAAGTTGACAATATTTTCTCATGATTTATTGCAGTGCCCTTTTTTGTTTACTGTTTTCCTTCTTTGACTGACAAATTATGCAGATCTAAATATCAACCGCCCATATTACTGTCTGTCATCGCAGATATCAGATCCTAACCTGCTAAATAAGTTATTATGTTCATCCCCTACTTAGTCTCAGTGCAACATGTCATATTTTATTGTTTTAGCATCGGGATCCTGATAAATTCTACATGCAAGCACATCTCTAGTTTGCTTATGAAGTTGTCTTAACTCTTAAGAACCTTGGTTATCTTGTTTGTTTGGTTATCATGTGTATACTTCTGGCTTTTCTTTTTCTCTTGCAACTAAACATTGGAATTAATTTGCTTCATTTGACTGTCCTCACAAGTGCATGAAGCAAACACTTCCCTTGTACACATCAAAATTTTCAGATCTCATCTCCTGCTTAACCCAATTTCCTCTCTGGCATCTGAAGTCTTTTGAAACATCATGACATGATTTCAAACAATTCTACCTGTCTTTCCCAACTTTCTTTTTTTATTTTTTTCTCTTAATCTTGTAAATTTATTGGGAACATGCCTAACCAAAACTGACAGTATCACCATTCCATTGCTATATTGCCTTACTTTGTTTCAGTTTTCCACTTTGACTCTGTTGTTAGACAACCGGGGGCAAACATACATTGCTTTGGAAAAAGTGCCAACACTCCACCATAATCTTGTTGTGTTTCTTCATTATATCAATGTGGCAAAATGATACTTTTCAGACTCAGCTATTCACCTTAAATCCATATTGCAGAGCTGTCATCACATACCTAAATTGGTTGGTTGTGGATAGTTTTCTTTTCGTGTAGCAAGCAAGCGTCATTCACATTTATCGACACCATATGTGCAGGAGGTACATGGGACATAAGAGAACCATAAGGCCAAATGCTAAAAAGCTTAGCTCTTTATTTAAGGCATGCAAACAGATGGAGTGGGAGATGTTCTCCAGGAAGGTGAAGTTAGTCCAGAGAGGCTTCATGGGGGAACCAGATGAGATGAGGCCAGGGAGGGGTGACTTCCATGAGTTTCCATCTTCCTGCATCTGTCAAAATCCAGATCACCTTGTAATAGGTTGGATTTCCATGAAGCCTGGAATTGGAGGAAATGAAACGGTGCGACAGCACGCAACACCTGAAGTGGAAATCAGTGGGGACGAAAGCAGGTTTTTCTGAATCAGACAGTGATGTTTGTGGCCAATTGCTTCCATTCAATAAAAAAGGTTCACACTTTGCAGTTCGATGCATCTTAGTGGATGACTGCCTTGTGCCTCGTTAGTGACATCATATGACAATCCTGGCGAGTTCCGAAGGATACACAGACTTGTGGTACTTGGGTTAATGCTGACAAAATCATCGAGGAGACAGAATGGATGATTGACCGCTTTTAAAATTGTCGATGGTGGTGCAAACCAAGGCAGCCAGCCTCGGCCATCAATATTTTTATACTGAGATGAAGCCTCAAGTTTAGAGTCTATTGTTGTAAGCCAATGTAAATTATATCACCAATTTTTCCAGATTTAAACAGAAAGGCACTTGACCTTACTGCTTGACTTCATTCTTGTGGCCGTAGCAATCATGAGAAAGACTGTAATATGAGATATTTATGATCGTCAATATTTTTTCTTCTACGTAATTTCTCTTTCAAGTTTCTGTTCTTCAACCGGTCAACCATTGGATCCATGAAAATGGATGGTCTAAAAACCATCACGTTCATGCAGTGTAATCGTTTGTCTCCCTCATGAAACATACTGATAAGATTTTGGTTTTCCTATTCTTCAATCAACTCAGCACAAACGTCTTCGTTTAGCCTCTTAGCTCGGTTTTGAAATGTGTCGGTCATACCACAGTTCCAATGTCATGACAGATGACTACATTGCTATGTTAGTCATCAGTTCGGTACTAGTTGTAGATCCAACCTGCAGTCATTACTGATGCTCCAATTTTTAGCACCACCAGATAGCCAGAGTGGTAGATCCAAGTCTCCAGCTAGCTGACGAGTAGTGATCCCTACAACTGGCACGACTAATTTGCAAGTTGTAAACTGCAAGAATACCATCAATTAAGCCTCAGATCGGCTTTTCGCTTCTCTCAGTCCATTGCTATACTTGAACCTGCAACATTGGCTCCTAAGGAGAGATCTGTCAAGGGTGGAAACTATGATAGAATGCTTGTATGCTCAAGGTAAAGAAGATTCCAGTGTAAAACTCTTTTGCATTAAGCAATCACTCTACTGAGAGAACCAAAGTTACAGAGAAGCTAATAATCAAATCACCACTCAACTTACATTTAAATGATATATAGGTCAAGTTAACTAAACATGTAATACAAGTTGAAACAACAATGACTGAGCTAATAAGCATCACAGTGAAATGTTCCATTTCAATACGAAGGAACAGTGTGTAGTTTTTAAGAGTTGATGCCCTTTTGCAAGTATTATCATCATACAGGTCATCAAAAAGATGTTTATATTCATCTAGGATTCTCTACCAGTTCATCTTCAAGGACAAAGCGAAATCTTGTATCATAAGGTAACCATTCAATGACCTGTGAGGCCTTCCTCTTGTTGTTTGAATTTATACATTTGTGGATCACCTCCGGCAGCTTCTTGTCCATGTTTCTAGACACCCATATGAGAAGATTGTCCCAGCCTGACACAGGCTTCTCTTGCATCTCTATCAAGAACCTTTGGTAGAAAAACTCTGCTTGATTTCTTCACCGGTACATGGGTTTGAAGGAATTCCTCTCTTTGCCTTCTGCAGCTCCTCCATGGCTTTCTTTTCTAGTGTATGTTCTCACCTGCAATTTTTGATGAGCAGTGAGAGGGATATGATGTCTTGGAACAAGAAAGAGCAAGTGATAAATTTACCATAGTTTTTGAGGAAGCTCCAGTGCAAAGGCCGAAGAAAACAAGTGGCTGACAACTAGAAAGACCAATATTTGATCCAGTTAGCTGCTTTTCTTCCCTGTATTTCTTTCTCACAGCATTTGTGAGTATAGTCTCAAGCCACTTGAAGCAAACCACAAGAACTAGGTGTAAAGAAACAAATGTGCTCGTCTCTGAAAATGGTTGTTCTTATTATTTAGTTATTGGATGTAGAGAAGACATTGTCAGAACTTCTATATGCATCTGAAAATTTTCTTCTCATGCAAGAAATGATATACAAGATTTCTCTAGTAAGAACTTACTGATGCAGAATGACAATTAATAACAGCCAACATAAATGAGAATAATGATAGTCGTACTATGTCAACTAAAGTAGGTAATTCAAAATTATTCCATAGATGATCATACAAATTTAAGGTCATACATGACCCCTTCGAGATATCCGACAACACAGTATGGAGTATTCAATGCAGTTGGCAGTGATGATTTGTCCTCCAATATTATAGGCAGCCTGCAGAGCACTGATAGATAAATCATTTTGTTGATACAAAAATGAAATTACAAAAATAATTCCAGAAATGACTTATACAAAAGAAAAACCACTTAATACTTTAGTTGTCATCAGCTGAAGTATATTTTTGTCGAGAAACGTAAACAAGATACTTTCATCTTTCTATGTAACTCATGTTTGCACTGTTTAGTTAAGAGAATTATGCATTTACATCTCTGTCAAACCATACAAAATTGCGAAAAAAATATTTGAATCTGTATTGCTCTCACATTTTCCCATATGCATGGTTAAAAACTTTTTATTAGTGCAGCAGATGTACAAAAGTGCTTTCGTAGGGTGTATAACAAAATATGGAATTCTTAAAAGCTACATATCACCAAAAGGCATAGAAAGAGTTCAAAAAACATTATACATCTATAATAAAAGCTATTAGAGATATGTCCCAACTAGTGGCAAGAGAAAACAATTCTAGAATTTCTCATGCATATTGCAGAATCCACTGAGAACATAAGAAAGATTATTTTTACTGCTAAAGAAAAATAAATTTCTGCACCTTGTTAAACAAAGCAATCCTTCTCAGATAATTACTTGGAAATCCATATACCATATATGCCTATAATAGAAAGAGCAAGAAGCGACTACCCAGTTTCTATATGGAGAGAATAAAGTGAATCCTACCACACTTTAGCATACAGGACTTACATGCATTAGGAGAGAGTTATAGATATTGATCCAAAATGCCAATTTTCATTAGTTTCCCAGGCACTCACATTAACTGTTTACAGCTGTTCCACCAGCAACCTATAATTAAACAATCAATTCTTAAGAGATTCTTAGGAGAGAACATTCACGGTAAATGATGCAAATTATTGTGATCTTAGAACAAACATGTAGTCGCTTATGACATATGACGCACGAGGACATTGCTTGTCTATTTTAATCGAAGTTATTTCAAGGGTGGACCTACTAGGCCATTCCTGTTTCTCTGTAGTTCCTCTTGGAGGAAGGACAACACTGCTAGATGATCTTGAAAAGAAGGAAGATAACAATTTACCAGACATTTCAGAAGAGTCAGTACACATCCAACAATATATAGAAGCCATGCATCTGACCATCTCTTCGGATATTCTGCTTGGGCATCGATAGAGATGATCTTTCAGAGTTGGCGTGAAATGACCCCTCCCAGAGGTTGGGAATTTTTCCTGGAAAAGAAATTGACATGTTAGAGGACTGGTAGTTATGTCAAAACCTGCTTTATGCTTTGCCACAATATCAAAATTGTAATAGAAAATGAAAATTCTAAAATTCTGTAACATGCTCAAGAGTCAAGACCACCACTAAGAGCTATAGAGAACTCAATGCAGTGTAGAATGGAGGGAACCAAATGAAGGACAAATTGCAGATCCAAAGGATTCTTAATGTTTTTAACCAAATTTACTTGATTTAGTGCTGTTGCATTCCGTTAGATCTACCTCATCATATATTCACATGTTCAAGAATCTACAACTCCCCAAAATACATGTGGTTTCTAGATGACAGAAATACTACAAAGAACAGTTAGGCAGATATTCATATTACAAATATATCTCTTGCAGTGATTCTGAACAATTTATTATGTGACTGACAAGAGAGGATGTTTAGCTCCCACATATTATATATGAAATCTTTCTAAAATTTTGTTTCTTGTAAAGATTAGACCAAACAAGAAGAAAAGAGTTTAACGTTGCCAAAATTCAATTCTATTACTTCTGTTCCTTTTGTTGATTTATTTAAGGGACAATACACATCCTTTACTTAACTGGGTAATGATGTGTGACTATGGTTAATTTCAAAACTTGAGCTATGTGTAGTTCTATTGGTAATGGCTGAAAGCCAACCATGTGCTCCTTAGTTCATGATCATATTGAAATACCAAAATCTCTCTCTAAGCTTCAGCAAATTACTTCATTTGCTTTAACTGTAGTTTTGATATTTATTGTCATTATCAATCAGTTTAGCCAACAACAAAGCCGCAATGTCCCAACCAATCAAACAGCCCCATACCTTGAATAAGTTTTCATGCCATTACAAGCTCTTCAAACTACAGAATGTAATTAAGGAAAAAACTCAATAACTTTTCCATCCATTCATAATATGTTGCTCTTTTCCATAAGGAAAAGAAAGTACAGACAGCTACAAAGCATGAATTAAGAGAAATTTCACTTGAACTTTTTTAGCTAATAAATAAAAAATCAAAAACACAATTGTGCTTACCAAAAGAGTTTTCTGTTTAACAATGGGAAGAATGGAGCTTCTAGTTTCCTTTTAACTTTGAACCATAGTTAACCATTCTAAGAAAAAAATTAGATTGTAGATATATCATACTTCAAAATCTATCAAATGGATGTTTAGGAGAACAAAATAATATGGAATTCAAGCAAAGTTATGATAAAACAAAACCATAAGCTCATGTATTTGGCAACATATTCTAATGACTGCAACAACAAACAAAGGGGTGACTCAACCTACAGTTGCAAGGATGAGGAAAAATAATTTAACTAATGACGCATAAGCAGGAACCCAATGTGGTAGCTAAATAATCAAAAGAGAGAAATGAAATAAAATATAAAGTATATAACATAGATACCAAACAAATAAAAAATGTATGAAGAAACTCTATGAGAAATCATAATAACTGTGAACTTTCAGTGACAATCTTATGTTCTTCTCTTTTGATAATCAACTTTCCTTCAATAATTAACAGAACAATAACAATTATATTTATCAAGGGACAGAAGTAATGCGTTGATAACTAACATATACATTTGAATGTTGTGTTTATGCTTATATGACATCTTTATTATCATTTTCCAAATTGAAACCCTGTATTCCTCTTTTTCTACTACTTAAAACTGGGGTTATGATAACAATGACATGTAGCTTTCAAGGACAAGTAAGCTGGACTTATGATATCTGTCTTTCAATGTCCATTCCCAATTGATCCATGTTTTAATACACCTGTGATTGATTTTATGAGTGGCCCCTCCTATCTTAATAGACTGTGAATACATAATCTCCAAATTTATCCTCCAACCTATTATTATTTACTTCAGATATTCTCCTACTCAGTCAGGAACAGCAAATTTCTAGTATTTAGGAGTAGCTCCTAATGAGCTGGATTGGCCAGTTTGCAAGTTTCACACAAACATAAAAAAAGAGTAATTGAACCAGTGGTTTCCTAATTTTTTTCGGATAAATACAATGTTAAGAGAAAAGAAGCTTCAACAAGGCAGTATTTTCCTGGAATTCATATTGATCATGTAAAGAAAAAAGCA